CACTCTCTGGTTAATTCTGAGTTTTCCTTTCACATTATATGGCACCTGCAAACTCTCCTTTTCGGGTAAATTGAAAAAAGATTTTTCTTTTAAAAATCGAAAATAAATTTTAATTTCTAATATTTAAAACAAATGTGATGGCAGACAAAGCATTTAATGCGCCACTTACCTTCACATTGGAATTGGTCTTCTCATTTAATGAGTCAGCTGATTTAAATATTTTGAATTTTGAAATAGAATCACTCGCCTGTTTTAATGACTCAGCTATTTTTACAATGGAATTATTAAATATTTTAAATATTTAAAATATTTTAAAATACGAAAAAAACGAAAAAATTAATTTTTTATTCAATTAAGTTGTGGTGTAAAATTTTGAATTTTGAAATGGAATGACTCACCTGTTTTAATGACTCAGCTTTTTTTACATTGGAATTATTAAATATTTTAAATATTTTAAAATGCAAAAAAAAAAAAACGGAAAATTAATTTTTTATTCAATTAATTTTTTTGATTTTTCTTTTAAAATTCGAAAATCAATTTTGTTTTCTAATAATTTAAAACAAATGTAGTGGCAGACAAAATATTTAATGTGCCACTAACCTTCACATTGGAATTGGTCATCTGATTTAATGAGTCAGCTGATTTAAAATTTTGAATTTTGAAATAGAATCACTCACCTGTTTTAATAGTTCAACTATTTTTACATTAGAATTATTAAATATTTTAAAATACGAAAAAAAACGGAAAATTAATTTTTTACTCAATTAAGTTGTGGTGTAAAATTTTGAATTTCGAAATGGTATGACTCACCTATTTTAATTACTCAGTTGTTTTTACATTGGAATTATTAAATATTTTAAAATAAAAAAAAACAGAAAATTAATTTTTTATTCAATTAATTTTTTCGCTTTTCTTTTAAAAATCTAAAATCAATCTATTTATATATAATGGAAACCCTTTTGTTGGAAAGTTTTGCCATGTTTACTCCCTGGTGAATTCTGAGTTTTCCTTTCACATTACATGGCACCTGCAAACTTTCCTTTTTGGGTAAATTGAAAAAAGATTTTTCTTTTAAAAATCGAAAATAAATTTTAATTTCTAATATTTAAAACAAATGTGATGGCAGACAAAGCATTTAATGCGCCACTTACCTTCACATTGGAATTGGTCATCTCATTTAATGAGTCAGCTGATTTAAATATTTTGAATTTTGAAATAGAATCACTCACATGTTTTAATGACTCAGCTATTTTTACAATGGAATTATTAAATATTTTAAATATTTTAAATATTTTAAAATACGAAAAAAACGTAAAATTAATTTTTTATTCAATTAAGTTGTGGTGTAAAATTTTGAATTTTGAAATGGAATGACTCACCTGTTTTAATGACTCAGCTGTTTTTACATTGAAATTATTAAATATTGTAAATATTTTAAATGCAAAAAAAAAAACGGAAAATTAATTTTTAATTCAATTAATTTTTTTGATTTTTCTTTTAAAATTCGAAAATCAATTTTATTTTCTAATAATTTAAAACAAATGTGGTGGCAGACAAAATATTTAATGTGCCACTAACCTTCACATTGGAATTGGTCATCTGATTTAATGAGTCAGCTGATTTAAAATTTTGAATTTTGAAATAGAATCACTCACCTGTTTTAATGGCTCAACTATTTTTACATTAGAATTATTAAATATTTTAAAATACGAAAAAAAACGGAAAATTAATTTTTTACTCGATTAAGTTGTGGTGTAAAATTTGGAATTTCGAAATGGTATGACTCACCTATTTTAATTACTCAGCTGTTTTTACATTGGAATTATTAAATATTTTAAAATAAAAAAAAACAGAAAATTAATTTTTTATTCAATTAATTTTTTCGCTTTTCTTTTAAAAATCGAAAATCAATCTATTTATATATAATGGAAACCCTTTTGTTGGAAAGTTTTGCCATGTGTTACTCCCTGGTGAATTTTGAGTTTTCCTTTCACATTACATGGCACCTGCAAACTTTCCTTTTTGGGTAAATTGAAAAAAGATTTTTCTTTTAAAATTCGAAAATCAATTTTATTTTCTAATATTTAAAAGAAATGTGTGGCAGACAAAACATTTAATGCGCCACTAACCTTCACATTGGAATTGGTCATCTGATTTAATGAGTCAGCTGATTTAAAATTTTGAATTTTGAAATAGAATCACTCACCTGTTTTAATGACTCAGCTATTTTTACAATGAAATTATTAAATATTTTAAAATACGAAAAAAACGGAAAATTAATGTTTTTTTTTTTTTTGGTATATGAAAATTAATGTTTTTATTCAATTAAGTTGTGGTGTAAAATTTTGAATTTTGAAATGGAATGACTCACCTGTTTTAATGACTCAGCTGTTTTTACATTGAAATTATTAAATATTTTAAAATACAAAAAAAGATGGAACATTAATTTTTTATTCAATTGATTTTTTTGATTTTTCTTTTAAAATTTGAAAATCAATTTTAATTCCTAATAATTTAAAACAAATGTGGTGGCAGACAAAGCATTTAATGTGCCACTAACCTTCACATTGGATTGGTCATCTGATTTAATGAGTCAGCTGATTTAAAATTTTGAATTTTGAAATAGAATCACTCACCTGTTTTAATGGCTCAGCTATTTTTACATTGGAATTATTAAATATTTTAAATATTTTAAAATACGAAAAAAAACGAAAAAAACTTTATGAGACAGATGCAGGTACTTAAGCCCAACTTTATGTTTGCTTTCTGTTGTCTAGCTGAATCAGCTCTTTAATTTTTTCTGGGTATAGTATTTGATGTGAAAGACCTTTTAGGTAGTTTTCCAGTTTTACAACCCCCATTTCGTCTACATGGACTCTTATGTAGCATTAGCATGCATCCCTTCTGTTATTTACTTTACCTTCTAGAAGCAGATCAAATTAATGCCAAAAACACTCTTTCTAGGTTGTGTTGACTGTTGATAAAATGTTATTGTCTTTACTCTTTTTCACTAAATTTTGGGTTATGTCAACCACCATGTTTCTATATGACTCACTGCTCTGTTGTCTTTAGTTTTCATGAAATTGACTTGAATAAATTGGATGTTGAATTTAATGTGGTATCATATTGCTACATGGGAGTTGATATTTTATCAATATGGGAAGTCAAATGGATAACAAAAAAAAGGGTTCGTTGTTGTCATCTTAGTTGGGGTATTTTTTATTTTATTTTTCCTGCAAATGATGTCAAAACCAATGTTGTTAAATCGAGATCTTAAATAAAATCGGAAGGGGATTAAAAAATCGTATAACGTAAAATCGTAATGTAAAAAACCGTAAAAAATCATAAAAACGTAAAAGCGTTTGGAATATTAGTAAAACCGTTTTGATGAAAAAAATCGCAAAAACGTAAAATCGTAGTGATAAATCGAGATTTTAACAACAATGGTCAAAACCATTTCATTTGTTGACGCAGGTTCAAATTACTGATTTTTTTTATTTTGTTACATCTTTTTAAATAGGTTTGATACAGAAGCGTATACAAACTCGCAGTGAAGGGAGCAATTCTGACCGAAGCAGCATATTTTGTGTTTCAGAAACATGTTTTTCTAGAAATTTGTTGTATTTTATAATTCGATATTGCAGTTTCTTTTTGTTTATGTTACATTTTGTTTAGCTTCTTATCACATTGCATTTTTTAATAACAAATAAACAGAGAAATACTAATTTTCAAGGGCTATAATAGTACTAAGGATTGTAAATGAAAGTGTAAAATATACATTAACGAATTTCACATTAATTAAAGTGTATATTATGAAATTTCTTTTTTCTTTTCTATGATGCTATATCTGTCCATTTTTTCATGGGTAATTGTTAGCCCTATTAATGTTGCATAAAAAAACAAAAACATTAAAAAAATTGTAAAATAACAAAATTATTTATATTGTAAAAACCTAGACGCAACTATAAAAACTTTTGATTGTAGTAAATAAAAGTTCATCTCTGAGATAAAATATAAAAACCTAGACGCAACTATAAAAACTTTTTTGTGTGGATAAATATAAAAACCTTTTACATGCTGATAGTTAGAGGTGGAAAACTGAGCTCAGCCCTGAGGGTCGGCCCGCCAATATATTTTTATAATTCAATTGAAATTTTATCCTTCTTCTTTTATAATTAAATTACTAAATCTGATTTCAATTTTTGTAAATACAAATTTGTGAAATTCCAAAGACTAACGACACTAATCCTTGCAAAAAAATTATTTATATAAAATGCTGACAGTTAGAGGAGGAAAACTGGGCTCGGCCCGGAGGGCCGGCCCACCAATATATTTTTATAATTCAATTGAAATTTTATCCTTCGTCTTTTGTAATTAAATTATTAAATTTGATTTCATTTTTTGTAAATATAAATTTGTGAAATTCCAAATACTAACGACACTAATCCTTGCAAAAAAATAATTATTTATTATTATTTTATAAATCTGATTGTAGTAAATGAAAGTTCATCTCTGAGATAAAATATAAAAACCTAGACGCAACTATAAAAACTTTTTTGTGTGGATAAATATAAAAACTTTTTATATGCTGATAGTTAGAGGTGACAAACTGGACTCGGCCCGGAGGGCCGTCCCACCAACACATTTTTATAATTAAATTAAAATTTCATCCTTCTTCTTTTATAATTAAATTCCCAAATCCTCACCCAAAAAAAAAATTCCCAAATCTGATTTTAATTTTTGTAAATATAAATTTGTAAAATTGTAAATACTAACGACACAAATCCTTGCAAAGTTTTATGTTAATGCTGTGATTTTTTTCACTGAAATATAGAACAAAATAACAACACGATTTTTTTTGTAAATATGAGATTTGCAGTGTGATTAACCAACTACGACGCACGATAAAATTTTTAATCTTTTTCGGCGTGCTTCGCAGGGCTATTATACTAGTAAAAGGAAAAAGTCACCCTTTAAGATTTCAGATTTCGTGTTTTGCAAGCCCAAGTGTGACTCAAGAGTCCTGAATTCCCCTTCCCCTCCTCACACTTCGTTTCCTTCACAACATCGCACACACAAACCTGCCCTTTCACCTCTTTCTCTCGCCGTCAGCGTCTCTGCTTCTCGCGCCTTCGATTTCGTGTGAGTTTTTTCTTTTCTGCCTCCGATTCCCGTTACATTTCTGTCTCTCTTCTTGGATCCCTTAAAAAAAAAAAAAACACTCTTTGCTTATTGGGTTTTACCTCATTATCTGTTACTATTCTTCTGGTTTACCATGCATTTTGATTGTTAAAGCCCTAAAAGTTTTGTTTTTTAAGTTCCTTGAATAACCCCTTTTGTATGATTCTTGCTTACTGCTGTGGAAATGCTAATAAGTAAAAAATAGCTATATTGTTTTGCTTTTCTTGCTCCGTAGAGAATCTGTGTGCTTCCGCCTATAAATACAATTAAGGTAGTCTGAAGTTAAGGTTTTAAATTTCTTGGGGGGTTTTGGGGATCTCTGATCTACATTTTGTGGTTCAGTCATATTAGTTGAATATGAGGGTTTTTTTTTTTGTTTATGCTGCTTGGGAATTGATTAGCTTTCTGTATGGTTTAAATTTTTTAAACGTTGATCTTAGTAATTTATGGATGATTGTTATATGTATCTTTTTTAACATGTCAGATTGACTTGTATAGTGTTCTGAAGCAGTTCATTTTATTCCGGCCTGAAAATTGTTTTTAATAGTTAATTAAGTTTGTTGCTCTTTTTATTATCTAATTTGATCGCCAAGGCTTTATGTAGCTTTCCCTGTTTTATGTAGATATATGTATTTTTTTGTAAGTTAGACAAGGCTAAACTGATCAACCTCACTCAAAATTAGTTTGGGTTGAGGTATGTTTTTTCTTCAAATCATCCCATACCTTGCTGTGTGTTATGTGGTGTATTCAAACTATATTCTTTTTTTAACCCCCTCCCCCTACCCCTTATTGTTCTCTCTCTCTCTCTCTCTCTCTCTCTCTCTCTCTCTCTCTCTCTTTCACTCTGACATAGACACATATTTCAGTTGATGAGGTGTGTTTGAAAGTATAAATGTAGAATTATGATGTGCGATGTATTCTTGCTTAGTTGCAATGCTTTACCCTTGCTATGATGAATAGTTCAGATGATGCTAGTTTTTCAAGCTGTTCAATGTTCATCTTGTCCCTATCTTCTATGTGATGTCACATCTGGGTCATAATTATGACCTTTTATTCAGAACACTGAACCTGCTGTATCCTGCTCCTGAATGGAGGTTTAGTGCTGCTCTAGCTGCTCAAAGGGTAGAGAAGATTATGAGGGAAATTTTTTCATTTGGTATGTGCAAACAAAGACGAGACCATCTTGTTAGTCAAGATTGTTGTAGGCCTAAGAATGAAGGGGGGTTGGGTTATGGGATATGGTGTCCAAAAATGTTGCGTTAGTGTCGAAATGGCTATGGGGTCATCAAGTATTTCAGAGTAAATTTGGTTTAAATCATATAGTGTTGGATACCAACTCAACAATCAATGCTACGGACGATCACAAGTCTGGGCAAACCCGTGAACCCAACCAACCAAACATATTTTAGAGCAAAGCATTAGTATTCCAATTTTTTCTTCACTACCTTAAGTACTCACATGAATAACATTTTCCTTTGGGTCATCAACCCCTTAAAAAGTGAGCAATTCACAAGTTCCTGACCTTAGTATTAAGGATGCCTTGGAAGGTACTGCTATGATTGTCATCTGAAACCATATCAACAGTCATACCAGTATTATCAATAGTTTGCTGAACATTGAAAGATCATTAAAAGGTAAACAGGAGTGTATGTCAGAACAGGCCTGCATTGGAGGTCAACTCCTAGTTGATTGACAATGTTACCTGAAAGAGAAACCTGAACCTGCACACGAGCTGTAGGAGTAGTCCGCATAAAACCAGCATGCTTACCTTGTCAGCTTCAACAAATAACTATGCCAATTCCTAATGAAACCGTGTTCAGCAAAATTATTTACTCACCTTTGTCTTTTTATGCATTCTATGTCTTCCAGCAAATAACTACTTCATGTAGTCTTGTACTCTTGTAGGTACTGGAAACCATATTTTTTTAAAATGATTGAGACATACAAATGTGTTTTTAACAGAGTTATCTAATTTATGTGATTTTCAAATTTAATATGTCATTTTTAGAGGAAAAGCTTTTTTTATTTATTTTTTTAAAAGGGGAAAATATAAAGCAGCAATGGCCTCAAATGTCACAGCCGTTTGTTTTACTTTCATGCCATCGAGTTGACAGTTTTTCTATAATATGAATGGCTTAGGAGCAGATTTGTGTTATTTCGTGAGTGTTTGGTTGTGTGACTAGAAGGACTAGTGTCTATGGAATTTGAAATAGATATAATGATATTGTTTTCTCATACTTCCTTTCAGTTTTCCTATTTAAATCTGGAAGCTGTATATTGTTTGGCCATAACCGATGGACTTATCTCTCATACTTTCTTAGTGGTACTTATATCCTTAATACAGTCTAGGAACTCTAGTGATATTGTAAGCCTATAATATCAATCGAATGATACTCTTGTAAAACTTCTCTTTTGAAAAATTAATGTTTGTTGTGGTTTTATTGACTTTTGTGATGGTCAGAATTGACATTTTTTAAAAGAATCACAGGGTTGCGGGTACAGGGGTACTTCTGTAGAATCTAGATCATTCTATTGTTACTTCCCCCAAGTTTCCCAATTTGTTTAGTATCCTTTAATATTTATAATTTTCTGCTGAGCTCAGAGGTATATGGAGAAAAAGTATTAGAATGTTAATTCTTTCCTTTCCTTCTTTTTAAAAGATAGGAAATGCATTATTAATTCCTTCCATTTTCTATGTTTGGTAATTTGCTTTGAATTAGTAGTCACAGATCAAAATGTCTCGAAGATATGATAGCCGCACAACAATCTTCTCCCCTGAAGGACGTCTTTACCAAGTTGAGTATGCAATGGAGGCCATTGGGAATGCTGGTACTGCAATAGGGATCTTATCAAAAGATGGGGTAGTGCTGGTTGGTGAAAAGAAGGTCACATCGAAGCTGCTGCAAACCTCAACTTCCACTGAGAAAATGTACAAGATTGATGATCATGTTGCATGTGCTGTGGCTGGGATAATGTCTGATGCCAACATCCTAATCAACACAGCTAGGGTCCAAGCACAACGCTACACATTTGCCTATCAAGAGCCCATGCCTGTTGAGCAGTTAGTTCAATCTCTTTGTGATACCAAGCAAGGTTACACCCAATTTGGTGGTCTTAGGCCATTTGGAGTCTCATTCCTGTTTGCAGGATGGGACAAAAATTTTGGCTTTCAGCTTTACATGAGTGACCCAAGTGGAAACTATGGTGGTTGGAAAGCTGGAGCTATTGGTGCAAACAACCAGGCAGCACAGTCAATACTAAAACAGGACTACAAGGATGATATCACAAGAGAAGAAGCAGTGCAACTTGCATTGAAGGTATTAAGTAAAACTATGGACAGCACAAGTCTCACCTCAGATAAGCTTGAACTTGCAGAGGTTTTTCTGTCACCCTCTGGAAAAGTCAAGTATGAAGTTTGCTCCCCAGAGTCTCTTACTAAGCTGTTGGTGAAGCATGGTGTGACCCAACCTGCAACAGACACTGCCTAGTTTGCTGTTCCATTCTATCCTTTTCATTTCCGGTGCTTTTGGCATTAGATGGCAGATATTGGCTCAAACATATTTCAAGCTTTTAAAACATTTTGTATTCGTACATCTTTGATTTTCAAGACAGTTAGATGGTATTTGTGTCCCATTTCTTGCATTTTCACCGTATCAGCTTGTCAAGCTATTTTCTAAGTTTATGCTTCCGTAATTTGCCTGCAAATTCAAATGTGGAAAATGCCATGCTTCATTTGTTCCGTTTAAAGGGTAAACATTGCCAGAAAAATGAACCAAATCAAAGAGATATCAGGGATTAAATAATCTTATTATTATCCTTTTTTTAATAAGATTTGAATTTCTTATCCATGCTTTATGCGTTAATCTGTCTATTTTGCTTTCTTTCTAAGGTTGTGTCAACTTGTTATATGATATGGAGGTGGTCTAGTTGGATACATTCACCATCTATTTTTCCTTTTTTTTTTTATATAATGTTTTTTGGGGTATTCATTTGTCTTTAAAAGCTATTGAGGTTCTGAAAACGTACCTTAGATACTTCCGATATGTATTTGTGTATGTTCGTTTGCTTTTCTCTTCTTTTTTTGTTTTTGTGCAAATTTTGCAATAATGTTTACTGAGCGCTTTCTTCATTAATGTTCTTGGCATCTAATTTTACTGTTTTTCTTTTCATCAGATATTGTCCTTCAAGATTGTTCAATAACTAACGTGTGAAAATAAATGCAAAGCTTATCAATCGAATTACTATCATTGTCACTAATATGCTGATGTCATTTCAGTTTAAAAAATAAACCAATATATGACACATGAAGATTATGCATCATTCCCAGGAAAGAAACCAATATATAACAAAACATACATAAAAAAAAAAAAAAAAAAAAACCTACTGTATATATGACATTTTGAGGATAAGGAGAGGCAAGATTCTTTACACTTCAACTCCCCTCACCACACTAATGAGAGAAAATAAGATGACAAAGCAAAAACAAAATGAAAAACATAAGATAAACAAATTAGCAACATGCAAAATATTATATTCCAAACTTGTGAAATGTTTGTCATCGATGGAAAATATAGGCATACAGGAGTTCATTCCACGTGTCAGGCACTCCAGGGAGGCACCAATGTATGCAATCTGCATAAGTTTTTGGATTTGATATTTGTTCTTCTGTTCTAGGTTCCCATTGCTTCCTATAGATAGAAGGGTGACCTTCTTTCCTGTACTCTGAGAGCTGGGTGATGTTAAGCATTTGAACTTTCAAACCTCTTCCATTCAAATCTTCAAGCACATTTTCCACCACTCTCATCATTTCAGGAACTGAACCATTCCCCCAATATCCCTCTTCTCTAATTAGTTCTGTTTCTTTGTAACAATTGTCACCCTTAGCTCCTCCCCATTCATTAGCCCTGCAGTTTTTTACATTACAAATCTAATGTGTTCATTGATTCTATCATAGTGTAATTATAGAGCTATCAATATACATATATTTGTGCACTGCTATGTGATTCTATTTTTGCTATATATAGTGCATAATGGCATGAAGCTTCTTGCCTTCTTTCACAAAAACAGAACTCACTGTGGGAATATGTGTTCCGTTTATGAGTGTCCATTATTATCCTAATAGATTCACAACATATAAATGGTTATATGTAATTTTAAACAGAGATTATTCGTGTAGACAATTTTCTTTACACTCATAATGGATTCTTATATATAAGAATTAGTCAAATCCTTATGCAGGAATTAAAATAATGATAATCATGAAAATAATATGCCAATATCATAATTCTATCTTAAAGCAAGGTCACGAATCTATTTTCAATGATGGGTATTGTAGAGTTGAACCTTACTTTTGATGAGTTGGTGACATGGTAATAAAAAACAACTTTGTCTTATTACGATCAACATGGACTTCCAACCAATCTGACCAGGTCCTCAAGGCCATCTCATAGACTCTCACCATTCCTACCCTTTTGTACACTCCATTTGCATCTCCAAATGAACCCCACCTGCTTGTAGTTACATTGTCACTATTAAATCAAATTGGTAGTGGAGTAGGAATAGGATTCATTTATGAAGAAAAAATTACAATACAATCATAAATGGTGGTTGGAAATTGGAGTTGTTGACATGCAAGTTGATCAAATTAAGAGAGTGATGGCTAGGTGAGTTGTACTTACAAAACATTCATTGCATGTCTTCTCCACCAGAGGAAAGTGTTGAAGACCAAAATGTCAGCATCAGTCCAGTACCTAGCATGTTTTTCTATGGCCTTGACTCTGACAATCCGATCAGGTACCCTATGGTTCACAGGGTCATCTGAGTTTGATTCTACCAGTAATGGGGCCCAATAGAACTCGATGGTTGCATTGTATTCCTTGATTAAATGCGTCAATTGAGCAACTATTAGCCACATATAGCTACTTGTAAATGTCATGGTTGTCTAATTATAATATGTCAAATATGAGTTTTTTTTTTTTTTTTTTTACCCTATTGTTTTTTCTATTGTTATTTGAAATATGATACAAAAGATTATAAAAAGAAAGCACACGAAATAGCTTGTTTACATGCATTTTTTCCCTATGTTCTTGCATTAGTTAAAGAAAGCATTCTACTTTGAATAATGTTATCAGATACTTTTGCACTATCACTACATATAAAAAAGACAAATTTTGATGCATAAAACCTGCCCAATTTGCAAGGACGAGTGATGGTTGATTGCATGCAGCCTTACACTTATATTTTTACAAAGAGATTTTTTCTCATGACCCTAAAACCGAGACCATCGGATCATGAAGAATTACCTTGTTGCTCCAAGACTCGCCATCACGTCACTTCATATAAATTTGATTAATTTGTTATCAAGCTTTTTTATTCACCAATCTACACATACTTAACTACTTAATTATATACCTTTTAATTGATGGTTAAGTGTAAGTATATTCTTTGATCAAAGTGATGTGAAATAATGTGTGTGAAAGTGTGCACGAGTAACTTAATATTCTTGTAAAGATTTACTTTGGCCTTGAAAATGCTGAGTGACCCATTGGCAATGGTGCGCATGGATTTGAGAGTTGGGGGCAGGGAAGATTCAACAAGGCAAACCATAGAAACCCATTGGCCTCTGTTGAGTGAATCCCCTACAAACACAAGCCTCTTGTTCCTTAGCATTTCAAGCAATGCTGTAGCATTGAACCTTAACAACATAGCAGGAACCACATGTTACAAAGCTAAAAAGAACATAACCAAATTTAATGAAACATATCACACACATAGGTACAAAGAATGAGTATTAAAAAATGTCACAAGGAGATAGAAGAGACCTAGGTAGGTCACATTGATGGGGCTTCCATTTCCAATTCTGGTAGCTAAGGTCCTTCCTTCCAAACTTCTCACAAGCCAATTGATCTGACATGAACGTGCACTGTTGCTCTTTGTAAAGTGGATAAGATTCATTATCAAAAACCCACTTACCAGAAAACATGTTACATTTTGATAATGATTCACCAGAGATAGTCCTTTCTTGAGACCATTGTCCTCCTTCCTGTGTTAGATAAATGGCAGTGACAACTAGAACAGTGGTTAAGATGGCTACAAGAGACTGAAAGCTGTTTCTGATTCCCCAAGTGCTACCTAGAACTATTTGGTACACCTTTGCCATTTACATTAAGCTTTTTCGTTTCTCACCTTGCAATTCTTTCTCTTCCTCCTTTTTGAAGTTTCTTCCAGCCGGTTGTTGAGGTAGAAGATTTTTTTTTTCATCTTTAGCCAAAGTTGTAGTAGGTAGAGCATGATGCCTTTTGAAGTTTTTGTTAAATGTTCATATATTTCCAATGACCAAAGATCAAATTTACTACTCACTTTTGACTTTGAGATTAATTAAATATGGATTTTTAAAAATAAAAAACAGAAATCAAACTTCAAACTTCAAACTTCAACTCCAAGCTTAGAGAAGTTTGGCTTCTACAGGGTGAAGTTACTCTATATGGAAATGTAAATATGTTAATTAGTAATAAAAATATTAATGGTTGATCTATGTAGTTGATTTTATTATAATTGATTGAGGTGTTTGACTTTTTTCCATTTTTTTATAAGAACCATTTGGTATCTACTCATCAACAGACATCGATTAATCTGGATTCAAGTCGGACAAGATTATAAGAATGATAAAACTCTTCCTACCAAATTATAATAGATTTAGTGTGTGTCATTTAAAAAGATACAAGTTGTGTCCTGTGTCATTTTAGTGACTTATACAAAGTATGACCGATCATACTATGTGTGATTCTAGAAAGTTATTTTTTTTTCACTTGACACGTCAGCAGCGATGTGACTGAGGAGAGAGAAAAAAAGTAACTTTCAGATTTACACAAAACATGACCGGTCATATTTTGTATAAATCATCTAAAAGGACACAAATACAACTTGTGTCTTTTTAAATGATATTTCTTTTTTCCAATTATAACATATTTATATATCCAAAACTCAAACTCAATATCACTCATTACGTTGGAACAATTCCTCATTATTGATCTTCCCCTTTATTTCCAAATAGCCTATTTAGAGATTAAACTCCTTCGATAAGATCCGTGAGTGACATGTGAGATCCACTATTTGACTTTCTTCAATTTATCTTTGTATTGCACTAATGAGCATCCTGTGCATAGGATGTATTATTTTAAGGGAAATCTTTTTTTTATGTTGTTGGAGATGAGTTATATTATGTTAGTGAAGTAAAGTTATAAGAGGAACTCACACATAATTGGAGAGAAAAAAAATAAAAGTGGAATTCACTTTTGTTATGTGTGTGTAGGAAGATGAGTTATCTTATATTGAATGAGATAAATATAACTTTTATTTTAAATCTAGCTAAGATATAATTAGTTAAAGAATTTAAATTTAAAATAAAAAAGTTAACATATGTTACTTTTTAGGAAATTAAAATGAAAAATTAACTTATTCCCAAGTAAATATATTTTTATTTAATATAACGTGGGAGATTATGTCAACATGAAAATTCGAACTTTGCTATTTACTTCTTCGCTTCCCAACTTGGGTGGTATTTCCATATGGGAAAATATTGGGGATAAATATTTTTCATATTGTAAGGGATAATTTTATCTTTTATATACATATTAAGATGTGTGGGGTATATGTTGGATCATGTGAAGAGAAGTGAG